ACTTCCTCTTGTTGCTTAAAATAAAAACTTGGCTTTGAAGCAAGATGTCAAACTCTTTTACAAGAGCCTGACGGGCGACGCACGGCCACCGACAGATGGCGGGTGATAATATAACTGGTAGAAACGGACACATTCTTGTGAACGTGCCCAGCGAGAGGGTAAAGGTGCTGATCTGCAGACCATGACGGACGGGACATCCATTAAGATTATAATCAGTGTTTTCTGGGTTATTGAGAGAACAAATTGCTGCACTGTTGTTGATGAAAATTTCCTGTGTCTGATGTCACTCAGGCATTTTGGATATACTGGACTTGGAAATTACAGATATTAACTTTACAACATCGTGGCCGCGGTCCTTAAAAGTCTTAAAATATCTGAAATAAAGTTTTCCTATAAAAAAGGATTAAAGTGTCTGAAATTTAGGTTCGATGGGTCTTAAATATTTCTGGTCACATTACCTCTAAAATTTCTCCAGTCTGACGGACACAATGTCCGTCAAATAACCAGTGAAGCATTGAATCGCCAGAATGATTCTGATTTTATTACATAAACAGCGATTGATAATGGTAATGTATTTCTGGTTGAGACTCGCACTGCCCGTCTTTTGTTGAGGAAAAAAATGTTGTGTTTTTTTATTTAGAACACAAATTTTGCTGAATATTCTCACGATTGCAAATGTAACATTGATTTTAGTTTAATAAACAAGTAGTTAGTAATAAATTACTTCAATTACTTACGTTAAACATTAAATATTACATACACTGTAAAAAATATTTTCAAGATTTGTTATCACAACATTTATCACATACATATTAAATAATTTATTTAGTTCAGATAATTTATTATTTTGAGTTTCTGATGATTAAATCAATCTCCTTCGTTGTATTAACTCACTTTTTCCAGTTCTTAAAAACTTAAAATTTTAAGGCAACCAGGTTACTTATTTTTTTAAGTGTTTTTTTTTTTTTACAGTGTATACTTTTGTAATAATAATGTGTATTTCCATCACAGGTTTGGTCTTAAAACTGTTCAACTCTATTCAATTTATTAACAGATACATATTTTGATTTTAATAATTTATTAGTAAATGTTGAAATGAACAGTAACTGAGATTAAGAAATGCTTTAAAGTATATTCATCTTTGTTAGTTAATGATAACAAATGGAACCTTATTGTAAAGTGTTACCTTAGTTTTTTTTAAATTAATGTTTTATTAATAATTAAAAAATACATTGTATTTTTTATTATTGGTTTTAATAATAAATTAAAAATGAATAAGGGATCATTTAAATAAACCATTCTTAGTTATAAATGACTGGTGCAGGTGTGTGGTTAGTATCCGATGGTTAGTATTTTATCTTTTAACTGTACGTTTTTTTAAAATAATAAAATGCAATAATAAATACTGCAGACTTGTATACCAATACTTAATTATGTAACATTACTGCAATTGTTTTCACTCAAAAGACCAAAAGAAGTCAAATCTTTAGTATGATTCAGTGAGTTATGGTTTTTGATAGCTTGTAGTTGCCGTGGAGTTTTGTGGTCAGATGATAAGATTCTGGATCTAGAGTTCTGATAAAGTATCCGTTTTATAAGAGAGCTGTGGTCATGAGTCAACACAGGTGTCAGCTTAATGCAACAGCTTGTGTTTGAGACTCATCTCATTTCACTTTTATAAATGAATGTGTTTGGATGTTTCGCCAGTCGTTTGCCGTTTGGTAAACTCATTAGTCATGAATCAGAGCAGATATCACATGA